TTCTGAAATTTCTATGCTTAATATCTGCATCCCTCAAATTCAGGATGGTGGCTACCCCTGGGAATATGTAATGTTTAATTTCTTACAAATACATCCAAAAACAAGAATGGAAAAATCATAAGTTTTGATAAAACTGAAGGATTATTATGTAATTTTTCACCATGTTATTTTTGGACTTCTGATATCTGAGGTACGCTACAATAAAAAACGAAAAGAAAATTCCCCATTGAGATCCAGAAACTCCTGAGAGGTGAAAAACTATCCCAAGAGGACAGCTGCAAAGATGAGGCCTGGCGCCATAGCTACAGGCTGGGGGCACTAGCAGGGACCCACCTACCATTTTCAGGGTGGCCTCCAAGAGCTCCTCCTCTGTCTTCTGGCGCAGGCAGTGAACCATGACAGCCGAGGTGGTGGTTTTACACCCAGCAGTGACGGCAACTTTCTGCAAAGATCACAGGCAGCAAGAGCTCAAGAGCAATGTCCCTTCCTTCTGTCAAGGTAGAAGATGTGTTCTGTCCCCAGCCCAGTGTGTGAGGCCGCAGGGGGAGCAGAAAGTACTCTAGACCAGATGGGTGGGCTCTGGGGCCCACAGAGTGCTGCCTCTGTGCCTGATCTGAGTTGTGACATGAGTCATAATTACACACTCCCTCTGTCTGTTACCTTCTCTCTGTTAAAATGGGCATAATGATCTCAAAGCTGAGTGTCTCAAGAGAGGAGGTAGTGGATGGGGGTGTAAGAGCATGGAGCCCCAATACCATTGTCTGGTTTGAAGCCCAGCCCCTGCATGTACTGGCCACTTGGCCTCAGGAAAACCACTTGCATTCTTTGTGCCTCAGTTTCTCCACCCTTCAATGGGCACAATGATGATCTCACCCACCTTACGAGCTAATACATGGGCAGAGCGTAGGAGGCTGCCGTGTCTCCCACACACTGAAACACGTGCAGAACTGCAGGAGGCCTGGGTGAGTTGATTCGCACCAAGGAACTTCAGAAAGTACCAAATGGGACTTAAACGGGAGCGTAAAGGCAAGCAGCGCGCGCCCATCCTGAGCGTGGACGGTGCTTCTCAGCGAGTGCGGCGTCTGCGGCACGGCCAAGAGTTTCCACCTGCACAGTCACGTGCTGGAGTCCTGAGCACCAGCCAGACGCGACTCTCCAGGGCAGGGCTCAGACGTTTCCATCAAATGGACAAACAGAAAACATCTGCACTTTTGTGGGCCATGTGGTCTGTGTCGCAATTTCTAAACTCTGCTGTCGCAGTGAAATAAATGGGTGTCGCTGTGCTGCAATAAAACTCTATTTACAGACACTGAAATTTGACCTTCACATCATTTTCATGGATTGTGAAATACTATTTTTCTTTTGTTTGGTTTCCATTGATTAAAAATTAAAGAAAAATCATTCTTAGCTAAAAGGTCATACTTACCTAAGACCAGAGTGGTCCTCCCATGTCCCTAGCAAGCTGCCCAGGCAGCTGTTAATGCATGGAGAACCCCTGACCCCAACCCAGAACCTCTTCTCATCTTAAAAAAAGTAAGAAGAAAACCCTCCTGAAGGAGAGGCTCCCCTGAGCCTGTCTTGGACACCGGGGGTGGTCTGTCCCGCACACCGTCACCCGGACTTTTCTGAGAGGCCGCATTTGATGCACCAAGGGGGGCATCTCAGCAAAGCCAGGGCCCTGAGCCTCTCTCCTAAGTGATCTGGGATGGGGGTGTAGAGCTGCGAGTGTAGACATGAGTGTTTTCCAAACAGAAGAAAACCTGACTACTTTCTGGAACCACAGGGGAGTTCCCA